GACTAAATTCTGTATTTTTGTTAGAAAATCTTGGGCAAGAGAAGCTCTCTTCCCACAGATTGCAAGCTGTAAAGGTGATGAGCTGAGACCCTGTTTAGAAAGACACCAACACAGAAGATGAAGAGTGGGACCAAGTCTCAATGATGGGGCTGGGTATTTGCCCCTTGCTCCAGACTTTTCCTCTCCTGCTCTCTACCAGCTGACTAAAAACGGACTCTATCAATCCATCTTCCCCTCTGGCTTCCAGGCAGAAATATTGTCATATCAGACACATTAGGTTACTTATTTCCCACTCTCTTTCCGTGGGGTCTCCTTCAGGCTGATTGTCTTTCTACTGAAGGCTACAGCTCCGGTTAGGAGGCTGTTGCCACATTCTTTACCTTCAGGTTCCAGTAACCACTCCTGCTTTGCTCCTTCATGCCTAAAGATGGTGACAACGTCCCACTGTTACTTGCTCTGGTACTTTAATATCCCTTGTAATCTTCCTGAATTTTGCCCTTATCTTCGTAAGTTGTCTTCTTAAAAACCTAATTAGATGGAGCCATCCATTTCCTGCTAGGACCCTGACACATAAAATGACCTTACTTGAGTTCTGGATCCAGACATGCCTAAAGATAGTCATACTTCCGACTTTTCAGTTACCTGAGTCAATAAATTCCCTTTCTCGTAAGGTTGTTTGAATTGGGTTTTCTGCCACTTACAACAGTCCTAATACTGTTTGTTAGGTTATTTTGATTGCATAGGCACACACAAGACACTTAAAAAAAGGGAGGGGCACTATTATAAACTGAATTTGACTCCTTCAAAGTCATATGTTAAAGTCCTAACCCTAATACCTCAGAATGTGATTATATTTGGAGTTAGGGTCTTTAAAGAAGTAATTATGTTAAAATGAGGTCATTAGCATGGAGCCTAATCCAATCTGATTGGTATCTGTATAAGAAGAGGAGATTAGGACACAGATATGCACAGAAGGAAGACACTGTGGGGGAAGATGCTCCAACTATGAGCTAAGGAGAAACCAACCCTGCCGATACTTTGATATCAGACTTCTAGCTTCTAGAATTGTGAGAAAATAAATTTCTGCTGTTTAAGCCACTTAGTTTGTGGTACATTGTTGTAGGAGCCCCAGCAAACTAATGTAGGTGCCTATAAACTAGAACTGGGAAAGATACTTCTAGGAGCCAACGAAGGTCTCTAGCTCTCCCAGTCAGCATGGTCTCTCTGTAAATCGGTTCCATTTACCTTTATTACTCACTGGCCAGTCCTTCTATATTTCCCAGTGCAAACAAATTGCCTTGGCTAATTGCCATTGATACTGCTGAGGTGAGACCTTTGCCCTGACCCACCTCAGCAGCTTTTGGGCAGCACTGGATAGCTGCTTTTGATCACGCGCCTCCTCTGTTCCACCAGTGGCTATCAGGTATCGGAAATAGTTGCAAGCTGGTTCGCTGCATAGAGTGTGGCGGAAGGGTCAGTTTCAGAGAGAAAGAGAGGCTGGATACAGCTGGCATTTGACAAGTCCAGCATTTGGTCTCCCAGGCTAGTAGCATTAATAGTTACATGAAAATATCAATACCAACACATACTACTCAGATTTGGCTTCATTTTTTACTACAGTAGCCAATTCCTCATTTCAGTTATTCAGATAGCCCACTTTCTTGACCTTGAGTTTCATGAACTATCCCAGAATCTTTACACTAACCACACTGTTTTGCTTGAGTAAATTTGATGTGTTTGTTACTTGAAAACAAACAAAAAAGCCTTGATTAAAATCATTTCAATAGCGAACAACAATTTTGTTCCAGAAAGAGGGATCTGTTTATTAGTAAACATGACTTCTATGGACTATTCCTAACAGTGCTATCAGCTTTGTGACCATGCTGCTCCCTGCACCTCTTCATGTGTGATACAAGACATGGAAGGAACGCTGAAGAATGTCTTCCACGTCCCAGTAATGTTGCAGAGAATCTTAAGAGGGTACCTCATGAGGTCATCTACTCCTACCTCAGAAACTGTTTTCTTCTAGTTTCTGAAATCCTAAAGAAGCGAATTATTTCCAATTTCCTGAAATGCTGTTATTATTTTTCCTTCTCCACTGACTTCTCTTTCTTTACTTACTTCCTGATACCACAGACACAAGATCTAGTGGGCACAGGGCTTAAAGTTCACCATTTGTGGAGCTAATAGCACATGTCCAGCAGTTTGATTACATTTCTGCTGGTAGTCATTTCCCCCTTGGAGAGGTCTGGTGTGGGGCAGGGAGGCATTGGCTTGGGGTGAGGGCAATCTTGTGGGGCACTCAGGCGTTCAGGTTACTGTGCTGTCCAGTAGGCCTGTCTAGCAGCATGGCCAGGGCTATTTCACCTGTATCCAGGAGCCTGGCGGTGTGGAAGTCTGAGTGGGCAAGGGAAGCTTGACCCTTTACCAAAGCTGAACGTTCGGGGACAAAGGCGGGCACACACGGAAAGCCACCTTTTGTTTACTAGAGGCAGAGTATAAAAACATTGAAAGATTTGTCAAGAGAGCCACAATATCAAATTTTCACCATAGAAAGATCACTCTGGATCAATTTGAATAGAGAGTAGTTTGGAGATGGTTAGGCTAGAGGTAGAGCAGGACTTGAAAGCTGGGGTAAGGAGCCAAGCTAGAGGTGATGATGGCAGGAAGGAACTAGAGCCAGCAAGGATGAGGAGAGGAGGACACTGAGAAAAATGTAAGGATTACAAGGGAGGCTAGAGCCTGCTGTCCAATACCCCCGCCATTGACTGGGTGTGACTGTGTGACTGGCTTTGGCCAATAAAATGTGAGCAAAGACTTAAAATATACTTGTGCTGATTTGGTCTGACCATTTGCATTCTTGCCCTCTTCTGTAAAAAGATCCCTCTCCATCGCCTGGGCCCTGGAGAGAGCAGAGAAGCAGATCTGAACCACTTGCAGGCTGGGGCAGAGCCATTGTGGGCAACCTCGAACCCATGGGTAAGATGTCTTTGTTTTATCAGTCACAGAGATCTGGCGGTTGTTTATCACACAACATTATTGAAGCAAAAGCTGACTAACGTAGAGATTCATCCCTAAAAATGTGGTGCTGCTGAGATGAAAACTTAAAATACGTGTCCTTGGTCTTGGGACTGAACAGCAGGCAGCAAGAAAGTGTTGCAGACTGCAAAAATGAGGATCCATGCTGTCGAGTAGCAAATTTGGTAAAACTATCACCTGTGATAACTTGAAGACAAAAATATATGTATGAACATGTGGTTTTGGTGATGAGATTTCAAGACAGACTGTTACCAGCATGGGGTGGTTACTGACTTTGTTAAGGTCTTTTCAAAAACAGCTGGCCTGCTCACAGGCAGGATAAAAGAGTAAAGAGTGACTCCAGAAATTCTGGGACTTGCAAATTCGAAAACTAGAACAGTTTCTCATCTTTAAATAGAAAAAGAAATTAAGAAATGCTGAAGGCCACAAAAGCTGGTTAAGATGCTTAATAAGACCCAGTTTCAGGATAAAGATCAAATAAAAATCTGCATCATCCTCTTTGGTAAACGTCTGGATTAAGGTGGCACCCAGTAAATTTTTTAATCTGGACAAAATGGTTTATTAAAAAAAAAAAAAAAAAAGAAGGACTAGGTTCCACTAAGCCTGATAAGCTCTAACTATTTGTAATTAAGTTGAGAGAGAGAGAGAGAGAAAGAGAGAGAGAAGGTGGGGGGCATGACTTGAAAATTATTGTGGATTTGGCTATTGAATCATAAAAATTAAAAAAAATTTTTTGTCTTTATTGATTTTAGAGAGAGAGGAAGGGAGAGGGGGAGAGAGAGATAGAAACATTGACGAGAGAGAACATCGACCAGCAGTCCCCCACTGGGAACCTGGCCCATTACCTAGGCAGGTGCCCAGACTGGGAATCGAACCAGTGACCTCTTGGTGCATGGGTTGACACTCAACCATTGAGCCACCTAGCTGGGCAAAAACATATTTTAAAATAGTTTTTAAGAAAAATCCAAATCCCAAAGCACCCTGGCCTGGAATAAAAAAGACCGTGACTTTTTCTAACTGACACTGTGACTCTTTGTGCCATAAAGAAAAAAGATCTTAGGATAATAATAATGTATCAATATTGGTTCATGAGTTGTGAACCACACTAATGTAAGGTGTTAATAATAAGAGAAACACCCTGGCCAGTTTTGCTCAGCGGTTAGAGCATCGGCCTGCGGTTCAGAGAGGCCTGGGTTCAGTTCCTGCTAAGGGCACGTACCTCGGTTGCAGTTTGTCCCCGGCCCCGGTTGGGTCATGTTGGAGGCAGCCACTTGATGTGTCCCTATCATGTCAATGTTTCTCTCTCTCTCTCCTTCCCACTCTGTCTGAACAAAAAAAAATGGAAAAATGCCCTCATGTGAGGATAAAAAAATAATAATAAGAGAAACTAGGTATTGGGTATATGAGAACACTCATACTATCTTAATAACTTTTGTGTAAATCTAAAACTATTCTTGATTAAAATTTTATTTAAACAAAGAAAGAAACCTTAGTGTCTCCGATATTCTGGTAGCAGAATGGGCGAGCTGCTCATCTGCCAGGAAGAACATCTCCTCCTTCAGACATGGCCAGAAAGGATCACGGAAAATTATCCTTGAAGGTGGAGCCAAGAAACACGAGAACAGTAGTAAGAAGAGGTATTCCCAATAGTAAGAATAGAATTGGAGCCTAATCAAGGAAGTCTACCTTTAGGTTGGGACTTGGCAATATTTTCCCAGGAAGATTTCAGAATCGCTACAGACCAGTGACTGATTCCCCTTCAGCAATGGACTGTTTATTTTTGTTATCTCTGGTCTACTAGGATTTGTTGAGTGCGGGAACTATTCTCATTTCTGCCTTCCTTTCCTCACCTATATGAAGAGTGTTTTACCTTCTCCATTGATGTTGGGAATGGCTTTATGAGTTGTTTTGGTCAGTGAAGGGGAGTAAAGCTTTGAAGGTGCTTGCACCATGTGACTTACCTCTCAGGCTTTTCTCATTCCCACCCTCTGCATTAAGAAGAGTTTGTCCCAGGAGCCACTGTTCTTTCAACCTGAATCCCAGAATGAAAGACTCATAAAACATACCTGAAACTGACCCACAGCTAAGAGCAGAGCTGCTGCAGCTGCCCAGTCAACCCAAGGCAAGATGTAAATGCTTTGTTATTGCAAACCACTGAGAATTTTTAGTACACAGCAAAGTTGATTCATACATCTGGAAAAGTTTCCCAAGGAACTGAGGAATGGCTCTAGATGGGATTTGAGGCGAGGGAGTAGGCGAAACAGAGAGTTCCAGGGCCTCTCCAAATTATAATTTGTTCTATCTCCAAAATCAGGCGAGAGTGCTTCAAACATCACATCCACAAGAGATACTAGAAATATTCTCTGATGACAAGAGTCTAGAATGTCATATTAAACTTCAATAATTAGTGAATGGGTTTTACCACACAACAATTATAGCCCCAAACAAGGTCCTGTAATAAACTCCTTGGGAATGAGACTGAGATATTGAATGCTGATGAATATTAGAACCTCTTAGATCATTTTTATGCAGAATGCACAAATCTTAATGACACAATCTCAACTGTGTCTTTCTGATAAATATCTTAAGATAATTATTAAAACAGACATCCAAGTCAAAAATTAACTTCTATATTTACAGAATAAGATTAAAAATCACTTGTTCATTTTATGAGCCATAAGTTTGTGCCTTGTGAAGACAAACATAGGTAGAATTAAAACTCTTTTATTGCAAAATTATTTGAGTCTACCAACAATGGCTTAATTAATCATAATATTGATATTTATTTCATTCTGATATAAACTTCATATATGTAATTTTATGCTATGTAAGATTTGCTGCAACAAATTACCAACATAACAAAATAATTCAGACTTACCCACAGAGTTTGTTTTAATGGGAATAGATCTTTGTTCAATGACTGCAAACCACTTGAACAGGTTTTACTTGTTTACCTAAAAGACATTTTTAAAAAGACATTTATTTTTTCATTTTTCCTGGCATTAACTAGGGACAATCTTGCCATAGTTCTACTTTACAAAACTACAAGGAAGGAACATTCAACTTGATGTTCATGTGAAATATAATTACCCACTTTTCTTCCTTTACAACATGTACTCTATAGACAAGATGACAAGCCAAGAAGTACACAATACTCTGCCTGTCATTAATAATAAGTATGCTCTTTTGAAATTTATTTCACAATAACACTTATTCAAACTGTCCTTTGCTAGCTTTTTGACTATTATGAATATTATAGCACCTCAATAAGTATCGCCTGTTTCAAATCAAAGATATAAATAGAAATTTATTGAATGAATGAATGGACCAGGTACAATCATAAATATTGTAAAAAATGTTTTAAATAAAGATTTTAAAAATGTTTTTATTATTATTATTATTTTTTTTTTTCAGAGAGAGAAGAAGGGAGAGGGAGAAATAGAGAGAAACATCTCTCACATGTGCCCCAACCAAAAATCAAACCCTCAACCTGGGCATGTGCCCTCACCGGGAATCAAACTGGTGACCTTTCAGTGCACGGGATGATGCTCAACCAACCGAGCCACACAGACCAGGGCAGTGTTGCAAATTTTAACATGTACACAGTTTCATCTCTGTCCATCACCCTTAAGGAGGTTACACTGGTAGACTGAGGGTTTCTATGCCAGGATTGTAGACAAACGAAATGCATCCATCTTGCCCTAAAGAAATATCATCACACATTCTTCAAGGCTTTGCACAAAGGCCATTTGCTGAATGAAGTCTTTCTTGAGTCTCCCAAGCATATGGGATCTCTTCCTCCTTTAAATTCATAGAGCTAATAGTGAAAATTGCACTGACATTGAGAACTTCCCATGTGCTTCAACCTGCTAACCTCTACATTTACCATCTCATTTCTTCTTTGCAGCACTCCTGAAAAACAGGCATCATTATTTCCACTTTACAGATGAGGAAATGGGGGAGGATTTGACCTTACAATTTAACTCCAGAGATGGTAGTTTTAACAACTCTGTTGGAAGACATGGTCTGCACTTGAATTGTTTGTGATTTCTGTTTCCCTAATCAGTTGGGGAACTCCTTCAGGCAGAGGAGAAATTCATTTAATATGTTTTCATTGATTTTTTTTTTTAGAGAGAAAGAAAGGGAGGGGCAGAGAGAGAGAAAATATCCATGTGAGAGAGAAACATTGATTCGCTGCCTCTTGCATGCGCACCAACCAGGGATAAAACCTGCAACTTGGGCATGTGCCATTTCAAAGTGAAAGGGAAGGTAATCAGAGAGAGCTTAGTAGAAATAAAAAAGTTGTGGCTTCAGTGGTTTTAAGAAAACACGCTGAATACACCAAAATCTCACAAGGAGGGAAAACTGCTAAAAGCTTACATCTTTATGATTCCTAAGCCCAGGTAAGCCAGAAACACAGCTGGTGGGTAACTAGGTGTCCAGGTCTATCTGACTGAACTGTACATACTCTGTTCCCAGATGTCCTGGTAATGACTTAGAATGAGAAAAATCACATGATAATAATGTTCTCTATAGACAAGATGACAAACCTCTGAGGCAGGGACATGAGTAGTCTGTCTACTAGCTGTTGCTGGAAGGAAGTCTGGGGAATGTTTAGGAGTGACGTCATGAAGGGAGTATAAAATATATCTAGTTTGGGTACTTTTATATCCTCCTTGTCTTGCTTTAGAAATGGGCATTGTGGTTTGAAAGAAAATGTAGTACATTATTCTTTCCATTAGATTGTCTTGGAAAAGGAGAAAAGAGAACTAAAAGTAGCTGTGTTGGGAGAGGGGTCTGGGGTTAAAGGAGGTTTTGTATTTTTATAAATAGAAAGGACTTGAGACTGTTTTAATGCTGAGAAGAGAAAAACTGTGGTAGAGATTAGCTACAGGAGATAGTTAAAAGAGCAACTTCCTTAAAGTAGCAATATTGAGTGGGGCTCAGGGCACAAAGGGAAATATTAACTGAAGGAAGGCGTTAAGAGATGGCACGGATGTGGTATGTTCAGAGTGCTGTGGGTTGAAGTTGGAAGATGTAATATTTAATGACTTCTGAGTTCTTTGCAGGGGAGATAAGGCTCCCTGCTAAGTGAGAGGGAACTAGGAAAGAGAGAGAGGGCTTCAGGAGATTGGAGACGGTTTATAGACTGTGCAGTAGACAATGGAAGAGCTGCCTTGTGTTGAGGGCATAACTGAGGTTGGAGACCATTTGTAGTGGAAGCAGTCTGTACGGTGCTGTGAGTTTCTTCAGCTGTGATAACTATTTGGGGTAAAGAAAGGAGAAAAGAGGCAGATTTATCCAGGGCTCAGCTATTTTCTCGAGAGTTCAAAGGACAATAAAGCAAGGCATCTGAGGTGTGCCTGAGAGAGTGGCTGGAGGGATGGGATGATGGCATCCTCAGCTGAACAGGGGAAATTGGTGAGGTCAATGGAATGTGGGTCTTTGTAAGGTTCAAAGAGCAGTTTAATAGGAAATAGTGGGTTTGGAAGGACAGAAAGAGATGGTCAGAACAACTGGAATTAAAAAGCTTAGAACTGGATGATATAACGAGACCTGGTGGATCCAGAACCAGCAAAGTTGAGTTGAAGAACTCTGAAGTTGAGGAGGATGGAGTTGGGCAGTATCTTATTGTACTGGATCATCCCATAAGATAATGGAAGCTACCTATGACAACAGTAGGCAGTAAGGTGTCGGGGATGATTTTTCCTTCATTTAAAAAAAGGTTTAATTGAAGTCTAAGATAGTCTACCTTTATTTTTTAAAATTATAGACTAATTTTTTAGATCAGTTTTAGGTTTATAAAAATACTGAGCAAAAAGTGAGGAGTTCCCCTATAATCTTTATTTTTAGCTATCTTATAATATATATGGTTTAATTATATGCTCTCTCAAAGCCTTTGGAGTAAATCATAATAAATACCTGTCTTTTTAAAAAAATATATTTTTCTTTATTGATTTTAGAGAGAGAAGAAGGGAGAGGGAGAGAGATAGAAACATTGATGAGAGAGAACATTGATTGGCCACCTCCCTCATGCCCACTGGGGATTTGGCCCACAACCTGGGCATGTACTCAGACTGGGAATCGGATCAGTGACCTCTTGATGCATGGGTTGATGCTCAACCACTGAGCCACACTGGTCAGGCACAATAAATGCCTATTTTGATTGTATTTTATAGCACTAAGATTTTGACTTGATTAGGATTATTGATAACGGATAAACTCTAATCCAGCTGTCCCAGAAATTCCTTCTCACCTCTCGTTCTCATCTTCATCTTTGTCAAAAGAGTGCCCATCCTTTCACTCTTGTCATATGCCTTCCACTTCACGAGGCTCTCTTCGATTGCCACACCAGGATGCCAGTCCCCTCTCCTTTAATATCTCATAGTACTTTGATAATAATTCTTTTACGATACATATACACTGCCTTCTGGTAGATTTTTTTTTTTTTTTTTGGTATCTAATTTATACACCGTTGGGCTCTAAGCTCTCTGAGGAAAATGTCTTTGTTTAACACATTCCCTGTAGCATCTGGCTTAGTGCCTTGCACAAGGTAGGTTTCAATCAACATTCGTGGAAGTGAATGAATTATGAAGTGAAAATTTCAACTTTATAAAGGTGGTAAGCTAGGATGCAAACATCCCTTCTTTCAACAAAGGGTCTGGTTTCATGGTTTTTTTGCTAAATAATTAGTTCCTTTAATGCATTTAATATATAATTTATAAAATTTCAACTAAACTAGGAACAGTTCAGTTCCCAAATTTTAATTAAACTAGGAACAGTTTCTTTGTGAAAAATAAAGTACATTCATGTAACTATTTACTTTTGATTATTTGAAGCAAATTTTGCTTTCTGTGTTCTTGTTAACAGAAAGAGTCAATACTAATGGCCTTCGTTCAGACCTTACACTGTTTCTTGTTTATCTGTACTCCTCCCAGAAACTCTAACCCAATTTTAAGCCCAAACATATTACCTTCCCTGAGGTAGGGGAAGGAGTACGTTATTTAGCTCATTCTAGAATGATTCAGCCTTGGGGAGAGAGAGCACAACTTCTGGAGTCAGGTGTTTCTCAGGTTCAATCTTGTCTCCATCACGCACTGCTATAGAGTTCAAGGTAAAATTTACTTCTCTGAACTATGTCCTTATAAGTAAAATGGTATTAATAAGATACCTAACTCATAAGAGAATGGTGAGGACAAATATAATGTATATCAAGTACCTAACCACAAAGCTCAATAAATATGTTTCCTATTCCTGAGATATGATTGTGTCTGCCTCTGTCACGGGTGTAAGAAGTAGAAAGATTTCTTACGAGGTAGCTTGGTGGGGAAGTTAGACCAGTATCAGTTCCAGTCTTCAGGAACGTAAACCTTCACAAAGTGTCTTATGTTTGGTTTAAAGCATTTCCAGCCCGGCTGGTTTGGCTCAGCGGTTAGAGCGTAGACCTGCGGTCCAGAGAGACCTGGGTTCGGTTCCCACTAAGGGCACGTACCTTGGTTGCAGTTTGTCCCCGGTCCTGGTTGGGTTGTGTGGGTGGCAGCCACTGGATGTATCCCTTTCATGTCGATGTTTCTCTCTCTTTCCCTCCCACTCTATCTGAACAAAAAATGGAAAGATGCCCTCGGGTGAGGATAAAAATAAATAAATAAATAAATAAATAAATAAATAAATAAATAAATAGCATTTCCAAAAGACCAGGCAGTCACACCCAAATGGAATTACACAGGTGTACTACAAAGCCAAATGTATGTTATTTCCTAAAATGTTTGTGTTATTAGTCCTATATAGAACTTTCTGTTCTTCAGAGAGGAGCCACATTGCACAGGTGGTCCTGTAGGGATCACCTTACAGGATCTAAACCAAGAAGTCCCTGAGACTTTAGTTATGATACAGCATAAAATGTCTCTGTTAATGACTTGAGCATTGTATTTCTTGAATCTGTAATCACTTATTATTTTAACCTTTAAAAGCTAATAATTTTAAAGCATTCAACTCAAACTACTTTCACTGGGCTAGAAATGCTTTATTGCAGCTTGGCTGACATTTTCTTTTACTAATGTCATTAGCACTGCTTAAAAATGAATTATGCTGGGGTATACAGTACTACCTTTGTTTTGAGAAAATATCATTTTATGAGTACATGAAGTGGGTCTCATAGGAACAAGCATTAACATATATCTTTCTGATTCTCCAGGCATGCTTACATTTCTATTAAGCATAAATAGTTTGTCTTGGAAAAAGGCCTGGTTTTAGATTTATTTTTCCAGGATTATGTCGAGTTCTCGTAACATCTTTTAAAGGAGAGTCTAGCTCCAGAGTCACTAAGGCTTATTAAAACCTCTAGCACCCAGTCTGTGCATATCCCTTACCTGGGAATTGTTGTTATGCTAACTCTGGTGTTCAGTGGGTCAATGAAATCAAATTAATGCAGTTATTTGAAAAGTCAGATATCAATTGTGTTCATTCATCAACATTCTCACACATAAAAGGTACAAAATAAAGGAAACGTAATTCTGTTTAACTTGGAGACTCTTATATGGATGGACATAGACTACATTTTAGTGGAAAATAAAATTATTTGTAAAATAAAATAATTTTCTTAAAGAAAAAAAAAACAAAGAACAAAGTTTCTTGATATGCAAATTCTTCTGAATCTTTAATGGGTGAAGACTCATTCAGGGTCTCAAACTGCATTTCCTAGGGCTTTGGAAATACTCTTAGAATCCCCCAAGTTTCTTGGGATGAACACAGGGGTCCTCAATGGTCCCAACCAGCAACCCCATCACCATCTGGGTACTTGTTAGAAATATTACATTTTGGGCCCTGGTTGGTGGCATACTTAGATTTAGTGTTTTCTGTGCACCGAAAGATTTCAGGTTTGATTCCCAGTCATGGCCCATACACAGGTTGCTTGTTCATCTCCATTCGGGAAGCGTGCAGGAGGCAACTGATCAATGTTTCTCTCTCTCTCTCTTTCTCCTTTCCTCTCTCTCTAAAAATCAATAAATACATATCCTCAGGTGAGGATTAAAACAAAACATATATATATATAATGTCTTGGGCCTCCCCAGGGCCCAGAACCAGAAACTTGAGGGTGGGGCCAGCGATCTGTGTTTTAACAAGCACACCAGACACTCTGATGTTATGCTCTCCAGTTTGGGAACCTCTGTCCTACACAATTGTTCTCAAACCTTTCAGTACAGCAAAATTCCCTGGATGATTTACCTAAGCATGGGACCCTAACTCAGTCCTTGAAATTCGGTGGCAGTAAATTCAGGGAGTTGTGTGGGAATCCACATTAATTTTTCTTTTACAAGAAAAGTGAGTGGTGCTGGTGTAGGTGGCCTATAGACCACAATTTGAGAGATTTTGGTTTTAACTTTTGACAAAATTAATGCCCCCCCCCCCCCCAAATCAAATTCCCTTCTACAATTGAGCAGAAAGTTTTGAACTCTGACTTCCAATAACTTTCATTTAGACTGAGAAGGCCTGCTTATGGAGGTGTTTCCTCATCCCACTGCCAGAGGGGCTGGAAACCTCTGCGGGCTCCAGCGGTGAGGCTTTGCCCACCTTACCACAGGTAAGGCACCTTACCACAGGTATGGCACTTTTCATTCCAGAAACCTACACTATAGGAGAAATGATGCAATCCATACATTAGCAGAAGATTAAATACATGGACTCAGCCAAGAAAAACACAAGTGAGAGTCTAATTTTTTCATGAGATGCTAGCTGGAGATCGATCACATTGGAAAAAGGGAACTCAATCCTTGAATATCCTGCTATGAGAATGCTCTATTCTAAGCAAGGTGACCTTTATAGAGAGTTTTGGGAATTATTTATTTCCTTAATCCCTGGGTACCATGAAAATATTAATAAAAGTAGGGAAATTATTGGTTTGTTTTATGCTTCCTCTAATGAAATTCTGCTTGCTCTACAGTCTTCCATTTTGTGTGGTAGGACTATGGTAATGCCTATTTTTGCATACCAAATAAATAAAAAGAAAGATGTAAACTGTATACTGGCTTCACACTATACTATTTAGCTAGTTAGAATATACAAACCTATTATTAATATACAGGATGGGGCAAATGTAGGTTTACAGTTGTTCATATGGAAACTACTATAATAATTAATAATACAAGAATAAACTCTGTTTCTCATACTCACAACTGTATTTCACACTCACCCTGTTTCAACTAAAGAATTGATACTCATTCATTATATTTACAAGTATAGTCCTTTCCATGTTTTTGTTTTTTCTACTTTATTAGAGTTTTAATAGTGAAATCAATAATGCTTGTTAAAGAAGTCAAACACACTCAGCCAGAGTGGCTCAGTGGTTGAACGTTAACCCATGCACCAAGAGGTCACCTGTTCGATTTCTGGTCAGGGCACATGCCCAGATTGTGGGCCAAATCCCCAGTGGGGGGCATGCAGGAAGCGGCCAATCGATGTTCTCTCTCATAGATGTTTCCATCTTTCTCTCCCTCTCCCTTCCTTTCTCTCTAAAAACAATAAAGAAAAAAAAAGGAGTCAAACACTACAGAGATGTATATATGAATATAAAGGTCCTATATCTCCCTCCAGTTTTACCTCCTAAGCATATGTATTTCAAATAGTCCTTTTTCCCTTAGAGAAAAATACATGTTCATTGTAAAACATTTAGAAAAGGTAGACAAGCAAAAGAAGTGAATCACACTTCTGATATAGTCTCTCATTCTGATGTAACCAACTGTTAATATTTTGGAGTTAAATTCTCAAAATTTTTCCAATGTGTATATTTATTAAAAGTGGTACCGCCCTGGCCGGTTTGGCTCAGCGGTTAGAGCGTCGGCCTGCGGTCCGGAGAGACCTGGGTTCGGTTCCCGCTAAGGGCATGTACCTCGGTTGCAGTTTGTCCCCAGCCCTGGTTGGTCGTGTGGGTGGCAGCCACTCGATGTGTCCCTTTCACATCGATGTTTCTCTCTCTCTCTCTCCCTCCTGCTCTATCTGAACAAAGAATGAAAAAGTGTCCTCGGGTGAGGATAAAAAAAAAAAAAAAAAATGGTACCTAGTTGTTTGCAAGTTATCTTTTTTTGCTCACTAATATCTTGTGGTCATTCTTCTATATCATTAAAATGAAAAATCTTATTTCCTAAAGCACAATATTTAATATGTGCCACAGTTGATATATGAGATGGTTCTTCTTTTCTTTTCTTTTCTTTTCTTTTCTTTTCTTTTCTTTTCTTTTCTTTTCTTTTCTTTTCTTTTCTTTTTTGGTGTTATATGAACACAGTTTAAACATTTCTAATAGTTACATTTTTGTGGATAATTGAAGAAATATAACTAGTACATCAAATTTGTAATTTTATAGCTACTGTTGCTTGAACAAGGCTAAAGAAGGTAGCACTGTGTTCATCAACTTTATAAAGAATGTGTGGATTACAGCGAGACCCTCAGGCATGCCTGTGAATGTCTCACATAACTTCTTGGAATTGCTGAGTGGTACTCAACCCTATCAGATCCAGTGTCCCCTTTTAATGATGAAGTTTTAACTCCCTTTGTCATAGATAGCTTACCTATGTACATAATTTAATAAAAATCAGTATAATGTTCTACCCTGGGACAAAAGGAGAAACAAAGGAAAATAATTCATATAAAAGAATATGCATTTCAATGAGATAAATGCATGGGTTTGAGTACCACAGAGAACACACGGGAGATTTGCTGAGAAAGAGAAATTGTAAGTGCAGACAGATACAGGTGACTTTCACTGTGACTCAAATACTGCCACCAGCATGGCCATTGGTGATGTTGATTTTCCAAAATTGTGAACAATTTTTGGTAAAGTTCTGAACAAAATAAAGAATAGTTTTCCCTGATGTACAAAATAAAGAATAGTTTTCCCAATGTAGTTGAATTTCTAGAAAAATCAGTGTATGTTAAAGCTGTGCATTTACATGTTAAATGGATTTAGGTCTGGCTTAGGTAATTATGCATTATGAATAATATTTATGTCTGACAGTAGGTTTTTCACTGACTTGGATTTTCTGTAAGACATTTAAAGTCACTTTGAATTACCAGTCAATTCCTGGGGACCATGCCTGGCATCAAAGTCTGTCTAACATCTCTGGCCCCTGTCCAGCAAAGCCATTAGTACCTCTAACATCCAATTACTGCAACAACCAAAAATACCCACAAATTTCTAAATTCTTCCTGGGCAGTACACTAAATGTCTATATGACAGCTATGCTCTTTTTTTTTTTTTTTAACTTTTCTTTATTGTTGAATGTATTACAGATGTCCCCCCTTCTCCCTCTATTGACTCCTTCCTCCCCAATCTAGCCCCTCCCCTGCCCTCCCCACACTATTGTTTGTGTCCATTGGTTATGCATATATGCATAGAAGTGCTTTGGTTTATCCCTTCCTGCCCTTCCCCCACCCCTTCCCTTTGAGGTTCATCAGTCTAAGAACCAATTTGTACTTCTTAATTCCTTCATCTTTTTCACCTACCCCCCAGCCCCCTCCCATCTTGAAAGCAACAAAAAGTTCTCTCTATCTATGAGTCTGTTTCTGTTCTGCTTGCTCATTTTGTTTGTAGATTCAATGGTTATCAGATATGTATTTATTGCCATTTAATTGTTCATATTTTTGTTCTTCTTCTTTAAGAAGACCCTTCAGCATTTCATATAATACTGGTTTGGTGGTGATGAACTCCTTTAGCTTTTTCTTGTCTAGGACACTCTTTATATGTCCATTGATTCTAAATGATAGCTTTGCAGGATAGAGTAATCTTGGTTGTAGGTCATTGCTTTTCACCATTTTGAATATCTCTTGCCACTCCTTTCTGGCCTGCAAAGTTTCTTTTGAGAAATCAGCTAACAGTCTTATGGGAGCCCCTTTGTAGGTAACAAACTGCTTTTCTCTTGCTGCTTTTAAAATTCTCTCTTTGACTTTAACCTTTGGCATTTTGATGATGATGTCTTGATATGGACCTCTTTGGGCTCAACTTGTTTGGGACTCTCTGTGCTTCCTGGACTTGTATGTCTGTTTCCTTCACCAAGTTAGGGAAGTATTCAGTCATTATTTTTTCAAATAGGTTTTCAATTTCTTGCTCTCTCTCTCTTCTCCTTTTGGCACCCCCATGATGTGATTATTGGTATGCTTGAAGTTGTCCCAGAGGCTCCTTACACTATCCTCATTTTTTTTTGGCTTCTTTTTTCTTTTTGCTGTTCTGATTGGGTGTTTTTTGCTTCCTCATACTCCAAGTCAATGGTTTACTTCTTGGCTTCACTTACTCTACTATTGATTCCCTGTAAATTATTCTTTATTTCAGTTAGTGCATCCTTCATTTCTGACTGGTCCTTTTTCATGTTGTTGATGTTCTCACTAAATTCCTTGGAGTTCTCCTTAAGTTCCTTGAGGCCCTCACTAAGTTCCTTGAACATCCTTATAATCAGTGTTTTGAATTCTGCATCTGATTGATTGCTTATCTCCACTTTGTTTAGTTCTTTTCCTGGAATTTTGTTCTGTTCTTTCATTTGGGACATGTTTTTCTGTTTCCTCATTTTGGCTGCTTTCCTGTGTTTGTTTCTATGTGTTAGGTAGAGTTGCTGTGTCTCCTAGGCTTCGTAGGCTGATCTATTGTGGTAGATGTCCTCTAGGGTCCATTGGCACAGCCTCCCTGATCACCCCAGCTGGGCCCTTGAGGGGCACCCATAGTGTGGACTATACACCCTTCTACTGTAATTGAATCTTGATTGAGGTTGGCACATCAATGGAAGGGATTTACTCAGGCTGATAACTTGCAAGGACTTGCTGTGCCCACTGGCCACTGGCCTCTGACTCCCTTGGAGGATCAGCTGTGTAGGGGCCCAACACACAGACCAAGACTTACTTCAGCTGGGCTCTGGTACCCACTGAATACACTCACTGAGTGTGTCACTTGTGGAGGTGGTTGGGTGGTGGTGTTTTGATGTGGTCTAAAGCTGTCCACTGGGTGTACTGGCTCTGGGGAAAGGTCAGCCTCTGCCTGTGTTCTACCTGGGGCCACCAGGCATAAGTTACAAAGTGATCTGCCAATGGCTGCTTCTTGTGGTGGGCTTGGAGTTGCCCAGGCAAAGCCAAGCTGTGAACCAAGTCTGGCTGCTTCTAGTGCTAGTCCTGGGGCACTTAACATGAGGTATGGGGCTGGCTGAGGCCAGATGCTGCTTGTTTGAGTGATTTTAGGAAAATCTGAAGCAGGATCCAAGACAGGCCAATCCTATGGTAAAGCCGCTAGAACCAGTTTGGACCGGAAAGTTGAGTGGGGCAGGGCCTCAGGGCGGGGCAAACAGTGTGAGTCAGGTTGCTGGAGTCCCAGATGTGGCTGCCATCTGCTGCCCTAGGGAAGGGCTCACCAAAGGAACAACAGCCTCATATAGAAAGTCTGTCCAGGAGAAAGCTGCCCCTCAAGCTCTCCTCCCAATACCAAAGAATTCAGTTCTTCCCCATATGTCTCTGGTGCATTTTAAGTTGCCTCCCCTCAGCACTGGAGCTCAGAGGGAGCGAGTCCGAGTACATCCGTGTTCAGGCCCTTTAAGAGGAGCTCCCTGGAGC